CTGACTGATTTTGCTTTTGCTTTTGCTTTTGATGATCATCAGGCAAGGAGGAGGAAGCAGTCAACTCTTTGTTTCGTGCCTTTAGCCTGCTAAGAAGAAGGTTGGTAATTTTGGGGGGAAGAGATGAAGAGGAAGATGACGACGAGGGAGAACGTGGCCAGAAATTCGTTCGAGTATTTTCCCCGCGAAGTAGGCAAGCTGCCTCATCATACGCCCTTGCAGCCTCCTCAGCTGTGTCAAAGGTGCCTAACCACACCCTTATTTTTTGAATAGTATCCTTTATTTCTGCCACCCACCGCCCTGATGGCCGCTGTCGAACCCCAACAAATCTCTTGCGCGCTTGGTGTACTGTGGCTGCCGCTGCCCTGGCTGCCGCCTCCTTAACCATTTCTTGCGAGACAACATTCCCTTTGTCAGTTTGCTTTTCATCCACCCCTGCACCAGCTTTTCTCTTCCTAGCCATTTTCTTCTCGTTTGTCAAAAGAATTACTTGTTACCTTTTAGTTTTTTTTCTTTTTTCACTCAGGTTATGTTGATGTGCCAATGATTTATATATATATCCTTGGGATGATCCTGTCAAAGGAGAATTTACTGATGAACTGAGTCTTTTCTCGCCGTTCAGACTCTTTTGTTCTTTATAATTATATTATTATATGGAAAAATCTTCTTGGGGGGGGGAGGGAGGGAGTAAAATATTACTCAATTTGATATATAATATCATGCATATATATATGTTTTTGACCCAGTCAAAGTGTGAAATTTCTTGCTTCTTGCTTCCTTGTCTATGTTAGGGTGTTTGACCAGGTTTTTATAAAGTTAAAAGCTGCTTTTAAACATATTAGGATAATTTTGTGGAAGTGTTTTGTTTTGCTAGAAAGATTTTTAGAGAAAGTTAATTTAAGATAGCTTATTGGGGAAACTCTTATACAAGAAATATGAGCAAAATCAAATGTTTTTTTCAAACATGCCCTTAATCTTATTCTATGCATTTACGTCTTTTAGTATGAAATGATTAGCTATTTAATCATTATTTTCTTTCTTAATTTTCTTGTTCACACGTTGCTAAAATTTCGAGTAAGTTGTATGCAAAATCTTCAGTCTCTTCCAGTCTTTTTCTCATTAAGGGTTTAAC